CTCTCTGGTGAGCACACGTGCCCTATAGCAAAAACACTCTCTCTTCAAAAAAAAAAACATAAAAGCATAACACATGACCAAATATGCAACAATATTTTAAAATTTTTTAAAAATGTGAAACTTGTGTGTGTGTGTGTGTGTGTGTGTGGCGAGGTGGGGTCAGTCGTCTGTGTTGAGGGTACCCCAGGCTGGAGCTGAGACCCCAGATTCAGGCCTTGGCAAGAAAGCAGTGGGGCTGGGAGGAGTGGAAAGTGGAGGGCGAGTCGTACTGTATTGAGAGACAAAGAGAAGAAAGCAGCTTCCCCTTCCTCCAGGATGGGAGGCGACACTGGACCTGGAGAGGGGACCCTAGGCAATGACAGCCCCACTGGGCGACCCTCACCATGAGACCCATGGGGGCCCAGACCAAGACACACCCCATCCTCCTAACAGCAGGCCATTAAGTAGACCCCCTCCCCTCCAGCATCTACACATCACAGCGACACATCTGGGCGGGTCCCACACCAGGTACCCTAGCTTCAAAACTTTCAGCACCTGGGTGACATGGTTGCCGGTCCCAGCACGACCACGACCACGGGCCACTTCCCTCTCCACCCACGTCCCCTGCAGCAGCTGCATCACCACCTGCCCATCCCGTGGGCTGAGATCAGCCTGCAGGTGTTTGGCCCGCAGAAGGCGGCTGACCAGAGCTAGGGAAACTGAGGCATGGAGTGATGGGGTGAGCCCAGGGCCCACCACGAAAGCCAGTCCACGGCCCAGCTGCCCGGCCCTGCTCTTCTGCACCATTTCTGTTCTCAGCTCAGCAAAGGCTGGAAAGGTGGAGCTGGCCCTTTAAGAGGAGCTGTCCAGATGAGCAGAAAGCAGTCTGCAGTCTGGGGCCCTGTCTGGGTCTGCCAGGGCTCACCAGCCACTTCCTTCTGGATCCTCCTAGCTGGCATCTATGGTTTGGACCATATTGCGAATCCAAATGACAGAACAGTACCCAATTAGCCAGACTGCCCAAAGGCACAACCCTCTGCCTGGAATAGTGTCTGGAACCCAAGGCAGTGACGGTGTCCTCGGTGACCTGCTAGGTCACCCCCTTACGGCCCAGAGGTCAGGATTTGAGGCCCAGCAAAGAGGCTGCAGGGACCCTGCAGCTGCAGGCTGTGAGCACTCCTGCCCAGTCCGTCTCCCTGTGTCTGGGACCAGCAATGGAAACATGTCACTCCCTGGCTGGGGGAGGGTCCACACAAGACATGGAGGTCCTCCCTGGGCTTCCCCTGCCCTGCCAACTCTAAAAAGACCCTCGGAGAACATGTTCAGCTGCACACCAGCCCTAGGGGAATAGACAGGAGGCCAAGGAGTGCAGGCAGGGTGGGGACCTG